GGAACAGTAACAGTAACAGTAACAGTAACACTGACATCAGGAAACAGGGGATGCTCTACCTGCAGCAGCAATGGTTTGGAAAGGTACAAACACTGACACACAGCGCTAACAGTAACAGTAACACTGAAACTGACACTGACAGGAACAGTAACAGTAACAGTAACTATAACAGTAACAGTAACAGTAACAGTAACAGTAACAGTAACAGTAACAGTAACAGTGACACTCACAGGAACAGTAACACTGACAGTAACAGTAAGAGTAACACTGACAGTAACAGTAAGAGAAACACTGACAGGAACAGTAACAGTAACACTGACACTGACACTGACAATGACAATGACAATGACACTGACACTCACAGTAACAGTAACAGTAACACTGACAGGAACAGTAAGAGTAACCTGTCAGTCTTACTGTTACTGTTCTTGTCAGTGTTACTGTTACTGTTCCTGTTCCTGTTACTGTAACCCACCCTACCCTGCCTCTGATTGGCTAATTATTGTTGCCTTCATTGGGTTGGTTGGTTAGATTTAGGCATGAGAGTAAGACTGGTTAGGGAGAGGATAATGATGTCAGGCTAAGTATGGTAGTGCAGAGTAGGGTGGGTCATGACTTCACCATCCTGGGGAGAAAAAGAATATTACGAACAGTTGCAATGAGGTGAACAGTAATGCTAACAGTAATGCTGCAGTAGCAGTGTCAACAACAGAAACATTAACAGTAACAGTGGAGATGAAGAAGCGGAAAAGCAGCAGTTATAGGAACAGTAACACTGACAGGTGCGTCAAAGCTGAAGGTGTCCAGCTGTTTGCACAGTGTTTCCCTCACACATTCTCCACGTAATCACAATGTGCGACTAATGACAGCAGTGAGAGGATTACATACAGCCTGAGGTGGAGGAAGTATTCAGAGTCAGTGTATAGATCTATAAAGTCACTGCCTGTTTTCAGCTCTGTGACGATGCATTGAACATATAATCCAAGTTTATAAAGGAACTCTTCATCCTGCAGTTTATCACAAACATTCACCACCAACGGTAACAGCCACACTGATGTAATGGAGTGAAAGAATAAAGATAGATGAATGAAAACAGTGGCAGCAGTCGAACAATCACTGACTGAATCTTTTTTAACTGATTGTGTGTCTGTTTCTATGTGTAGAAGTGGAAGCGTGTGTGGTGCGTCCTGTACAGAGAAAGTTCCTGTTCAATTTCCAGACTGGAGTTCTTTGAGTGTAAAGATGGAGGCAGTGTGGAGAAGAGTGACAAGAGTCTACGCAAACAGCAAGAACACAAGAAGGTAGAATATACTCTGACTCCGTCCTACTATTACTGTACGCACTGTAAACCTGTTTGACTTTATTATACTCTACCGTACTCTACCGTACTCTCTACCGTACTCTAATGTACTCT